CTTTGCGAATTGGATGGATAGGAAGAAGGATTCTTTTTATAAGAATTTTTCTATCCCTTATAAATTCAAACTCCTTTTTACGAGTAAGAAATCTATGGAAAGTAATTTGTCATATCATGAATACGATTCTATATTAATCGTAGCCCAACTTAAGGATTCAGAGCAATTGGTCGGTGGGTTTAATCCGACGAGTTTTAAAGAATGTAACCCATACAAAGATACACAAAATAGTTTTGTATTTTATTACACGAACAAAGATGACTCAAAGACTGCGAGAGTTAGTTACGTCGAACAAAAAGAATACGCTATATATTATAATGAAGAGGAGCCCGGATTTGGACGGGGTCCCGATCTATTGTGCAAAAATAGTGGTGTATGGACGAGTAACCCCGAATCGTATCCTTCAATCGGCATTCCAAAAAGGTTTGAAATTCAATCTTATGAAATTTTTACGGTTTACGTTTAAAAAAAAAAGAGTATGCTAATAGGGTTATTAGGATGTTAATTTTGGGTCCAAATTCGACTACAATAACATAATGATTGGAGAAGAATTTATTTCAAGAGTTTAAAATTATGCAAAACAAGTCGAATTCGAATTAAAAATTATTAAGATCATGTAAATGAATAAATAAGTATATTTTACTCTGTCGTGAAATAAATAATATTTATTTTTTTGTATTAATCAAATACAAAAAAAAATTTTTTTATGTCAGGAAGCATATTTGAATTCATGTCCAATGTTTTCTCCATCAATTGATTTCTTACAGCTTGAAAATTATTCTTAAACTAGCGTGATAATAACTGGAAATATAAATTACAATTTAACAAACCAGTATATGCAAATCCCGTTCATGAAAATTAAATGGTTCTTAAAAGTTAAATAACAAATGCTTTTATCACCTGTAAATAAATATTACGCTCTATAGCACCTGAGTATAAGAACGCGGTTTAGAATGTAAATTCGCGTTATCTTGTTACTTTATCTATTCATATTTATAACATATCATTATTATCCATAATACCCCTCCGATTATAGTCTTCCGAGATGAAACACCCAGGCACTATGGATTCGAAAAATTCTATAAACTATTCATACAGTGTTTTATTTAAATTGTCATAAATAACATATATAACAACATACTTAAAAAAAACGAAAGTTGTTGAAGTTAAATTTAATGCGCCAAAATTTATATCGTTTACATTAAACGTTACCATCTTATTTACTTTTTACTAAATTATGAGATCATTGAATTCGGATTCTTTATTGCTAAACATTATAAGAATGATTAAATTCATAATTTGTTTAGCGATAAAAATTAAATCTCACCTAAAATAGTATAATCACACCATTTTATCAAACAATTAAAGTCTTGAATCTCTTGTTCCGAAAATTCTGATCTTCTGATTTATCATTATTATCATAGACTTAAATATCAGATATGACCAAATTAATTATCGGTTTGCCATCGCATAGTAAATTTTCATTTAAAATTTCCCCGCGTCATCATTATCAATCGTATTTTAATGAAGTTTTCTTCTTATGCAATTGATTTACACTAGAAGACACTTCAAGCATATATCCATTAAATTAATTAATTATCCTGACGTTCACGTGATTTTGATGCATTTTTTTTTTTTTTTTTGAGAAAATATTTACAAAGAGAAAA